AATAGATATTGTTAACTCGATATAGTTTTCACGCTCTCATATTATCATTTTGTTGCATTAAGCAAACACCGCCCGGAAAATTACCAAACATTATGACCCACGGTTTCTGCCACGGTCAATTTTCATTATTCTCAAATATGAATAACGTGACATTTTCCGTTTGAAATCATAATGTGCGGATACAAAGGTAGTTTCCCTGCGGCAGAAGCTAGGGTCTTCCCCCTCCCTCCTCCTCTTCCCCCGAGAATGCGTCGCGCAATTTGTGAAATTTACTTATGTAGGTTATGAAAATGAGCAAGTGTCTTGTTTATTCTTGTAAATCCGCAGAAAATTCGGTAGCACTCCAAAAAATTTTTCGGAGTGCGCGTGGCTAGCGCCAGGCACCTTCACTGAAAAAAAATTTTTGACGCCTCCCCCCGGACAAAAATCTTGGGGCCGCCATTGATGCGGCCTCAAGATCTACATCTGGCGAATGGTTTATGTCATAGTAAAAGCAAAAACGAATGATGATACGATGTAGTATCTATAGGGTGAACGGTAAAAAATGGGACACCTTGAGAATAATTGCAGATTTCTCAAGGAAACAAAAGTGACTGGACTTTCCAATTTTGTTGGATATTAGAATAAATTATTCTCTTTCAGATAGCACCTATATAAGGTCATTTAAATAATGGATAATTTTTATACTTGCTAAAATGCAAAGTTAGTTACTTCGAGAAATTATGAAGTTTGAGCAGTATCGGCGCAGTGAAACATGTGAGACCACCCAAAGTACCACTGCTGGAGTGAGTGGTGGGACAGTCACGAAACCCACGACGGCTTGGTGGCTTTAACTCTCAATGTCAGGAGATATGCCCATCAACAGCTTCGAGAACAAAGATACGCGTTATTCAATTCTTTGCAGGTAAACGCATGATTTCTAGGTATCATCTGATAGAGCTTTTTACGCTCTATCTATCCATATGCAGCTTACTTCAGATTTTATCTATCTTCGGGAAATATAGGGCAAAACATGATTTTTTGGTTTTTGTTGCGCCAAAAATAGCTGGTTTCCAGGTTTTTTCGATTTTTTTTCTGAAATTGAAAAGAAATCCCAAGCATTCAACGTATCGTTCGAAAGAGCATGAAGAGCTCTTTCGAATGGTATGTCACTTGCTTTACGACTTTACGGTATAACAGCGCAAGATTGAGGATTGTCCAAAAAACCCTGTTCGAGTTCTTCACGGCGCCACGTGTAGGGTAGTGGAAGAGGAGCGTTAACGCGTTGTCAGAATAATAAGCGAAGGTCGCCCATGTAAGCGACGTTTAAGTTGCTGCTTACTTGCCGTTGCCAGAAACAAAAAATTCCAAATTGTAATGAAAATCAAGCTGTCCCATTTTTTACCGTTCACCCTAATATTATGACCGCGAACATACCTGTAACTTAAGAATAGTCTCTGTATTAAGATAGATAGAATCGCTCGGGCTGAAGTCTTCTGATGCAAACAGGACCCTGGAGCCTGCTTTCTTTTGAAAAGCGAGTGAAGCGGTTAGTCAGCATCTTGTTTATAATATCGTGTTTTGGAAGAGAAAATTTTCTGCTGTTACGGCGCTGTGTTTCTCAAACTACTCTCTACAAAAGTGATTCTAAAACTCTCTTTACAAGAGTGATTCTCAAACTACTCTTTACAAAACTTCAGGGCCCGTAGTAATCTACCCTACCTGGTGGCATCAAAGATGCCGGCAGGTAGGGACACATCGCGGGGAAGTTGCCATCATCGGCGGCAGCTCGTAGAGTGATTGTAGGTTTTAATAATCTTGTGTAACCTTAGTGCGCAATCATTTCGCACATCAAATTTTGATGACGCACACAGCCGCAAAACTGCTACCTCGCGCGCGGCCAAAATTACGTGCGTTAACTTGAAGTGCCACCCCATTAAACATTCGACCATTCGGGCAACCATTGCCGATTGCACCAGCAATAGGAGGAATGCACCTTAAGTGGCCGCCTGTAAGAGGGATCAATACATTGCGTGAGAGACTTTGACCTGAAAGAACAGCTGATTGACATGAGCGAGAGAGAGGCGAAATCGGTGCAAACGAGATTTAGAAGGATTGCTAAAAAAGATAGTATTCTTTATGGTTCTAAGGCATGACTAGATTTTTTCTCTGTAAGAAAATCGCCGTTTTAAAAAAGAAAAACTCACATATAATTCGAAAAATGATAAGTTTTTGAAGAAAGCAGAGTTTTTTGATTTTTTCGCCTGACGTAAATTGTGTGATATCGCCGCAATTCGCAAACCCACAGACGCCGTCGGCAAAGGTGCCACCACCTCGACGTGGTAGGGGCACGTCGAGATGCCGGCAGCTCCCTTTCTCAAAAGAGCACGCTAATTTCCGTGCTCCCTGACCTGCCGGCAGCTGCCATCTCGCGGATTTCGACGAGCTGCCGGCAGGTTGCCGGCAACTGACATTGCCGGCAGCTCCTTCTGCGCTTAAGAATATTTTCCTACAGGAGGATTTCTAGAAGCGCAAATTTCTATAGAGTTTTCTACAGAGTCGAGGCGGCATCTTCGTCAAGAAATTTTTTAGAAAAAGGCCTGGGACGGCCTAAATTTGGGGTTTTAGTTTCTGGCCACCTCACGGAAAAGGTGCCAGCGACCTGCCAACGAGACCTGCCGCCAGATCGGGGGATTACCACCGGCCCAGGTCTCAGACTAGTTGATCAGTAAAGGATTATCATTAGGGGAGCAACGGGTACATTCTTCATGTATCATAATTTGACGCATTAGCTTCAAGATATGCTGCTGAAGTCTAAATGCATGTGCAAAAACCCAGCCTTGTGGGAGTAACCATTAGTCGATTCTGTTTTTCGATATGCAAGGGTAATTCTTACAGAACCTCGTTCCTAAGAAAAATTTTGCAACGAAAAATGTCATGCCCATACTTTGTGGTCCTGTAATGTTTAATTATGGTTAAGTGATCATGCCATAGCATGAAGTACATTGCGCTAATTTCCAACCACAGCACAAGCTGCCGAATTACAAAACTGGTCACTGCGTTTCACTTGAGTCAAAAGCGATGCCCATTATTCGAACAATACAATTACAACTGAAAACAAAATTTTTATCAAAAAAAGCAAATTTATTTACAATAGCACAGTGGTACGATTTTGACGCATTCAATAGAAAGTACAAGCTGTTTGCTCCAAAGCTGCATCTTTCTGTCTGCTGAAGTTTGAACGGTTGATCGCCGCGCGTAATTTAGGATTTTGGGTCAGAGAACAAAAATCAAAGCCCATGAGTGCTGCATATCATAACTAAAAAAAATCCTGCTACGCTAACGAGTGCTTGCGCACCTATCTCTACAAGATCGTGCTTATTTTGCAGCAGTTTCGATTAAGCGAAGATTGAAGTCAAAAACGAAAAAGATCTAAGTGCCTCAATAAACCAAGGAAAAGTTGAAAGTCGTTTAGAAAAATTCTTCAAAATTTTTAACTTGCTCATGCATTGTCAGTTCGTATAAGACATTTCTCTATGCAGTTGCTGTATTCTTCTCTCAGCTAGATCTCGAGAAAACGAAGTTTTTCATTCTTTGTCAATTAGTGCTGAGATGTTCTAGCACTAACCAGTGGCGTACCGAGGGGGGGGGGGGCGGGGGAGGGGGGCGCGCGCCCCCCCCGAGAACGGGTCGCGAAATTTTTGAAAGTTACTTACATGAGTTATAAAAATGTGCAAATGACTTGTTTATTTTTGTAAATAACTAAAATAATTTCCAAAATTTTTTAAAAATTCAAATTAGCCTTATAAAAAAATTTTTTTCGGGGGCGTGGCTGAGGCCACGCCCCCTTTTTTCAGATTTTAGGGGTTGGGGGTCCGCAAAATTGTTGAGAAGCCCCCCTAAAATTTTTTCGGAGTGCGTGGCTAACGCCACGCACCTTCATTTGAAAATTTTTTTTGCCGCGCCCCCCCCCCCCCGAGCCGAAATCCTGCCACTGCCACTAACAGATGTATAGTACATGCCATTAGCAGTGAATATTACATTTGCAGCCTTCTAGAAGAGCTAGTTTACGAGAAATGACGGATCTAGCTCTCCTTATCCTAATTTTTCTTGCCTAGTTGCTTGAAATTCGATATTTGTCGTAAACCAGCCGCTGTAAAAAGCTGAAAATTCACACTCATTTCTAAGGTCCTGTAGTACACGACTGTTAGTGCTAGAACATCTCAGCACTAATTTGGCAACAACATGAAAAACTTCGTTTTCTCAATTTCTAGCTGAGAGAAAAATACAACAACTGCATAGAGAAATGTCTTATACGAACTGACAATGCATGAGCAAGTTAGAAATTTTGAAGGATTTTTCTAAACGGACTTCCAACTTTTTCTTGTTTTTTTTGAGGCATTTGGATCTTTTTTGTTTCTGATTTCAATCTTCGCTTGAATCGAAGCTGCTGCAAAAGTCTGCACGGTCTCGTAGAGCTAGGTGCGCTCTATCTAATAATTTATCGAATCCTAGAGATATAGGATTATTCCGGATTATTGCGGTCTGTACCTATGTGCAGGAATTATGCATCAACCAAATAGTAGAAGGTACAGGTTGCTTGTTCTACAATTGCATTTAGTTATTTGCTAGATAACCTTTTTTCTTATGAGGAATGACTTCTACTTCGAGGATGCTGCGTGAATTTTGTATGGTTGAGGTTAGAAAACAAGATTTCAAGGCTTATGTAGTGCTAAATATCACATAGGAGAAGTCTTTAGAGGGTGTTGAATACATTCGAATTATCAAGCTAAAAAGGAGGTTAATCAAAGAGGATAATCGGCAAAAACTAAACTCTTATTTTTGAGAAACAAGAGCTTCAGGCAAATGTGCGTTATTTAGCAATAAACCTTCTTTTCCAGATATTATCCAATAGATATTCGTCCGCGACGATACTTGGTGGAGACATAACTTGTACTTTCTACCATATTAAAACCACACATCCCATGAGGAACGACTCAAGCTGGCATTTACATGCATCACTATCTTATATAACGTGTCAGGAATTCATTCATCCACGGGCTCCACGGCTCATAATAACAGGGATTGCAGGTGATCTCACCATTATCGGTAACCCAAACGGGAAAGTTATAGTAAGTAGCAGGGTTGCCTGAAAATTTGGATATCTGGTGTGGGATAGACTAATCGTAAGGAAAAGAATGATGGTATTTATATTTACCTCCGAGAAGATATTCCTTTCCTTTTTTGAGGTGGACCTTGGGTCCCCGCTCGTCAAAAGGAGGTTTGTAAACATAGACCTTTAACGTGGCGTTTTTGGCCTAAATTTACAGCTCGCTTTCAAGACGCCAAGGTGGCCTTGCGTAGTTATTTACCCTGTAAACTTGTGTCGTATTTATGACATAGGAAAACATTTCGACCTTGGCGACGGTTGCCCGAACTACTGAAAAGAACACATGAGGAAAAAAACTCAAAGCAGCGGTTGTCTAAATTGTACATAAAATACTTGTGCAAAATTCCAAGTAACATACTAATTTCATAGTGTAGAAAAGATTTTATCTTCTCCTCCCGTTGATGGAACTGACGATATTGACATTCGCATAGCGACACGCACACAGCAAAAGCTACAATTCTCATCATTCTGCGAGCGAATCTGAACAATTCGACTTAAGGTTCAAAAAAACAACTTCGAACCCAGAACGAATTTGCATGAAATACTGTAAAATAGTCCAAAGAAAGAAAAATCGTATGCTCAACACACAGACCCCTTTATATTCATTCTGCTTCGTTCAAAACGTTTTTAGTACAACTACGCAAACAAAAATGTCAAATAACGCAGAGTGGTCGTGTTCTACTATTGTCACGGTCAACCTAAATTTTGCGGAATTTCAACGGTTGATACTGCACTTTATCACTTGACAGCACCGACGAATTCCATCACAAAAAAAATTCCTGGTTGGCATCACACATTGAACCATTGTAATGACAACGGGAAAAAACAGCTTTCGTGTCATGCCCATAAACTCAGCTTATTTGCTCTCTTATTTGGGTGGTCCAAATCACAACACTTCGCGCTTTTGCTTACTGCTATCAGCCTCTATTCTCGATTATTTCACCTTAATAAAAACAGATTCAAACGTAGTTGGTTTTCTCTAATATGATAGAATTGTAATGCTGTAACGATAGTAATTCTAGGTTGTTTTCTAACACACTTCACTGTGTTACAAATGCTTACACAAGTTTGTCAGAAACAAATCAACGATGTCCATGTTCTTCGAATCAAGATTGTGTCGTCGCCATATTGAGCTGTAGCACAAGCAGTTGCTCGCATCATTCCTGCACATCCGGACTCAGAATGTTTAACTAGATTTTCTTACAACCTCTGTCAACCTTGTGCTCTCTTTTCCACCATCCAAATTGCAAAACCAGAGCCTCGCACCGCGTTCGCGCACGTACAGCTTAAGCATTCAGAATCGCCTTATAGATCAAGGTCGTCTGCTAAACTCCTGCGGAGCGGACGCGTGACTGCTACGGAAATAGGAGCACCAGGTTGACATCAACCTTACTTTCCTCAACAATAAGACATTGACTTTGTGCTTGCTAGTAAACAAAATATGTGACAGAAAAAAATGATCAACACTTGGTAATTAGATTTCAAAATCTTGAAACGCTGATATGTTGATACACATTGTTGTACCAGTTATCATCACGTGCTTAGAAAATATTCAAATTAGTTCTACAACTTACACACCTCATCCCCTCAATTTTGAAAAGTATGAAAGAAATCTCGGCTTTGATACTTAAGATCCGTGGAGAAAGTAATTTATTTCAATTCTTCTTTCTCCCGTTTCCCAAGATTGAATTTACTCAAAAAAATTTTGAAAAAATGGAAATAAACGAAACATTACAATGAACGCCGATTTAGGTAACATTAGCGTTTGAGCTTTCTCCCTTCGTCTCATCGACGATTAAAACTACCTATTTGAAAGGAAGCAGATCTCTCTCGTAAAGAAGTTCGTCTCGCATATTTTAGTTGCCTGTCCACCCAAACTTCAGATTTTTTGTAGGTAACTCATTGTTCAATAATTTTCTGAGCTTCATATTGTTCGTTTACTATCCCCTTTCTTAGAAATCTCTTCAGATCCCCAACGTCAATCAGAAGACGATTGCAAAGGAGAACTATCTTTAAATCTCCATGATGAATTTTTGATATTCTTTAGCACTTCTGAGCAGTTTCTAGAAGCTTTAGCATCTTGTCCATACAAGTCGCAGATCTTGAGAGTTGTTTTCTAAGAATTAGGTAATAAGAAATAGGAAAGGGTAATAGGAAAGCAACGTAATTTAGTTGTCAGAAATTTTAACATGTTCTGCTTCTCCAATTTGGAATATCCAAGATCATCTAAATTTTCTAAGATAGGACAAAGATAGGACGCTGAAGTAAGTTGATAGTGCAGGATAAGAGTTTTTGGAAACGCGGTACATTTTAAACGAACGCCACACGAGAGAAATTCAAGAAAGTTGAATGAAAAAATGCGAATGATCTTAAAAAAACGAAATCCGCCTATATTTGCTGAAGATATTATATGGCTATTGTACTATTATATTATTCTAACCCCCCCCCCTCCCCCTTAAGAATGGGTCGCGGAATTCTTGAAAGTTAGTTACATCAGTTATAAAAATGCGCAAGTGACTTGTTTATACTTGTATGTTTATACTTGTATGATCCCCTGATATTCCCGGCGGCCGACGATTTTCTTCGAAATCACTTTTTTTTTTCAAAGTCAACGAAAAGTGTTACTGATTTTCTAAAAGTGCTAAGCTTGTTCCTGATGAGAACAAGTGATTTATCGAAATCATGATGATTGCGGTGGACCACAAGTGAATTGGCAAACTGTCTTTTCTCGGAAGTCATTTTTCTGTCCTCAAAGTTGATAAAGAACAAATCACTTAGAATCGAAATTTTTGGTAAAACTCTTATATTACTTGTGGTTCAGCGCAATTTTTTGATCATATCATTCGTTCTTATTAAATACATGATTAGCACTGTTGAGTCACATAATCAGCACAACTTAGGATGTTTTTACTGAGTTCAAAGAAGGATGGTTGGCCGCCAGATCATCGAAGGATTGTGCAAAAATCTGGAAAATGTGGTTTGTACAACTTCCGGCTCCTGTCCATTATTTCTTTGACATATGACATTCATACTTATCTTATGCCTTAGCCAGACGACTCAATCATTCTCGACACGAGCTGGCACTGGGGAAATTTCAAAGGAGTCCCCTTCGACCCGTTTTGCATCTTAAGTCGGGCTTTGTGATTGGGGCAGATTTTTTGACTGCGGAGCAGACCTAAATTTTCAGGTGGTTATAAAACGCCGAAGAACATTATGAAATTGTTTTTTCTCTGTATGTAAACTTTTACAGTACGATACAATTTATGTAAGAAAGCATGAAAACATGTGAGCAAAGGATGGCACCTAGCTGGCACCGTGGCAGGGTAACAGAAAAAGTTTAGCATAGCTTTCATTTACGTAAGTTCATAAACTTTTGGGCCATAGTTCGAGTCCTCCAACGCATGCACACACCAAATTTGGTGTCATAGAATTGCGTTTTGGTTGTAAACAAGGCTTTTGTTTGTTTCGGGCAGAAGTGAAATTCCCGCACTGTATTAGCACTGGGGTCGGCGGCATACCGACAACATGTCGTTGACATGCGAGTGGCATACTGGCGGCATGCAAATAAACAAAAGATGAAGACTAAGCATGTCGCTGGTATGCCGGCCAGCAGGCGATTTCTGGCATTCTAGCAAACAGCGGCATCTAATCCGCGAAGACGATATCGCCTTTGCTTTCTGCTCCAAAAACGATATCCAGCTTGACCCGGTGCCGGCTGTGCCGAACCCTGATTAATACTCATTGCCATCTGACTAGTCTTGTACTGCAAGTAGCTCAATGGGGAACACTTTCACGAGAAAAAGACTGAGAGCCGCATGCACTAGCATCGCCGCGGGGAGGGGATCGCAGCTTACAAGAAAGCTTCATATTTCGAAACTCCAGATACCTGGATTTCACGTTGTGTACCTATACGTAAGTATTCCTACTATCCTTCACTATGAACATGTTGAACAGGAGCGAGAAGCAGTCAAACCGCATTTTCCAGCTTTTGTATGATTCCTAATAATCCCCGGCGCTTTTCTTGAAAGTCATTTTTTTTCTCCGAAGTTAATGAAAACATTCCAAAGTTGTACTGAAATCTAACACAACAGTGCTAAGCATGTTGCTGATGAGAACAAATAATGTTTTGAAGTCATGAGATTTTCGATAATCCACAGGTCAAAATTTGGAGTTTGCCGAAAAATCCAATTTTTCAAAACTCATTTGTTCTCATCAGCAACTCTTAGCACTGTTGTGTTAGATGTTCAGTACAACTTTGGAAGGTTTTCGTTAACTTCGGAGAAAGAAAAATGACTTTCAAGAAAAGCGCCGGAGATCATCAGAGATCATACAAAAGCTGGAAAATGCGGTTCGCACAGCTTCTCGCTCCTGTTTAACATGTGAAGGATAGTAGGAATACTTACGGACAGGTAGACAGCCTGAAATCCAGATATCTGGAGCGTCAGAATATGTAGCTTTCTTTTGAAAGCATCGTCCACCCAAAATTTCGACCTCCATGTTTTTGCCTTTCCAGGGCTTTCTCATACCCGTGATTCCGCATATCAAGTTGAAAATCCGCGAAAACCACGAAAAACTGCCGTTTTTAGAACCCGCAGAGCGATTTCTTCGGTACGCTGATTGGTTGGGCGCGCATGGATGGGCGGGACGAACGTCACGCCCACTCCGAAAGGGGAGAAGCCAGCGTCGCCGCAATTTTCTCGGTTTAGAAGCAACTTCAGGCAGCGCGAGTTGTGCAATCATACAGTTGGGGGCCCTGAATCTGTTAATCATAATCTCACCATTCTCAATTTGGGTGGACGGTGCCTTTAAGCTTCAATCCCCTCCCCAGCGGGGATGTTAGTGCATGCGGCCCTGAATCTAAATATCGATTTAGTGCGTATACAGCATGTGATCATTTGCAGCTCAATATGCATGAGCACAAGTCGCGCGATATCACAACTTCAACTGAAATCTGCTGACTTTCAAGGATTTAGTTGTTTTCTTTTCTCTTTTAGGTCGGATGAACATAACATGATAGTACACAATTTCAGTTTCTTTTACTAATTTCAATTGGCAAGTTATCAGTAAGGTTTAGTGCCGCGCGCAGTGTGCATATGTATATTAAAGGCAGTGTCTCACCAACATTTAGTTGCCGAGATTTTTGCATTTTGCAAGCCAAATCGGACCCTTTTTAGCACTGTATGGGCTTAAAATCGCACGAAGTTCCCAAAAACCCCGTTTTCTGGAGGCCCCGCGGAAGCAACGTGAACGGGTTGTACCTTCTAGCTTCAGGCTCAGCCACAGTGGCAGCAACAGAGGGGGGGTGGACGCCAAGTGGAGGGACATATTCAAACGCGTAAGGAGAGAGACCGAAGGAGTCGTCCGCGCGTACCACGTCGCTCTCCGCGTACCACTTTGAGCGAATTTTCCCCAGCGTGGAGGGGGTCAAATTAAGTGGGATTTGTTGCAATGGCCTACTTAGAAGTCC